ATCATATCTTTTACTTCCTTTTGCATCCCCATGCTGCATCTAATTTCTTCCTTTTTAAATATTATCAATATACACCAATTTATAGATTAGGCAAATCTATTATAGCAAACGACTCTTTATACATTTTTATAATGCTTATTCTCACGTTAATCCTTACACGCTCTCATCCGGTAGTAAAAAAGAATTAGATTGACGTGAACGAATGATGTATAAATCTAATTATTATGCGAATTAAACTTCCAGTGTATAACAGTGTTTAATTAGTACGTATATTTGTAGATTATAATAAATTATACTATATGTCTAGTACGCGCTTATTTGTAATTCGTCCGTCTGTATTTAGGCAATTATAACAAACGATAATAACACTTGATGTACAGTATTTCAACAACGTGATAAATAAATTCGTAAGTGTCTACATTATATTTCCTATTTTAATATCTTACGTGCATTCTGTAGGATTTGCTCGACTGTTTTAATAATTATGTTGCATCAATAATCACTTACCTGTAATGAGCTTGGCGATGATATCTGAATTATATGCATCACTGATTTGACAAAAGAACAAGTCGTTGATATAAAAGAAAATGAAAAACTTATGGTCGCATGCTTCGATTATCATCGCTAAAATCTTTAGGAGAATGACAACCAAAGTGACTCACGTTTAGGGTCGGTTTTTCGCCTGTGTTCTGTTTAATTTAATTTTTATCTTAATTACAGGTGGTAATACTTAAAGATCTTATGATAATTTTAGAATACCGAATTCCATTTATTCTCTCAACCCGGTGTTCTCCGTGCGTTAATCTCGTTCGTTTCGCTTTGCGGATGGCCGATTCTTTGCAGCCACGTGGTATTTGACGACAGGAATAATTAATACTCGACCAATATATAAGGTGTATTTGACGGTGTAATTGACGATCTAATAAGTTCACGTGGGAAGATTCCTTCTCTTCTTTTTTTTTATCGGACTATGTGCCACGATACAAATTTATTATGTTACACATCTTGGAATATCGTGCGCTTAAATGCATTCACGAATCACAAACATGCAATATCTTTCTTATGTTCTCGAGACGCGTGCTCGCTCGAGTCGCGATTGTTCCACCGCTTTCGCCGGGGAGGACACAATCTTTACAATTATTGTGGACAACGTACAATATCCGCTCGTCGATACTTATCCCGGGCGAGCGCGATTTTTAAAGGATTAATCGAGACGGGGAAAGAGGTGATCGACGTCGAACGACTCGATCGCGATTACGAGGATATCCTGCGCAGCGTCGACCGAAACTTCGGACTGCACCTTCGAATTATCACAATTAAAAGACACAGTAAATTTCCAAGGTATTTTATCAGCCATCGTATATTTCACTTAAATTTATTATAATTCGACATAAAAAATTTACTGTGCCTGTCGATTTCAGAATGCTGGACGATTCATATTCGAAAGGTGCGCCGTGCTTCTTGGCCGAGACTGCTCGCAGATCCGCTCGCTGTCCGTTCGTGATTGTAAGAAAACGACATACACCACCGATGTTCTAATCGTAATGTTAACATCGAAGTACGATTTTTCCATCGGACTGTAGCCTCGCGATACAACAACGTGTCACGGATAATGCAATTTGCTTGCGGAACATACATGGATATTTGTACGTGTGTGCAACACGCGTGTAACAAGCTCCTCGCATGAATTGGGGGAAGGGGGGGGGGGTAAAGGAGGGATTTATTTTTTTTTACAGGGCTCAGCATGCTTCGTTCACATATATTACAACATACGCATATAACAATAACATTTAAAACCTTTTTAGGTGTCTTTTCGGACGTGGGAGAGAGAGAGCTATGGCGCGCTTATAATTATGTTCGCAATACAACAGGATACTTTGTGTGCGTGCGAAGGTCATATATTCATATGTATGTGTATTAGGTCGTGTGTACGTGTGTTTATGGTGAGACACTTGTGTTTTTCGGTGTGCGGATCGATCTTGCCTGGACCAAAGTGACTCCAAGCAAGCAAGTGATAAGTGGGAGGTTGAGGATGAAAATTTTACACGGTCGTCCTTAACTTCCGGTCACCGTATCCTCCTCAGTGAATATTACGTATAATACTTCCGGTCTCTATTCCAGATTTCATCCCTTTTCTTCAGCATTACGATGTTAGCAAACCGAGGAGGATATGCGTCTGTCGGTGAGACGTGTGCCTGCGCGTGCGTGCAGGAAGTTCGATGGAATCTATAATTAAATGTCAGTCAATTGTCCGCAGTCACTAAAATAGTCGTCTTGTCTTTAAGACTCTATGGAGCAACGGTTTCTTGAAGAGGGGAAGCGAATTGATAATGGGAGACGAGATAACGCGTTGGAAGTAGTTCTCGATTACAAATCAAACATGCAAATCGAGTTCAATCCCCCTTTTTTTTTTTTAACATAAACCATGTAACGCAAGTCAAGCTTAACTCAAAAAGGAAAAAGACTCTCGGAGAAAGATGTTTCTCCTCGCTCGTTACAGCTGCTTGTGGTGTGTCAAAGAGATCCCATGATTTTATGCGCAAAGTGATATAATCTCTCGATCGTTTTCTCCTCGCATGAGTGGAAACAAAGCGAAATATCCCGAAAAATGACATATTTGTTGAAATTGTCTTTTTCTTTTCAAAAATGCCGCGAAAGAAGATTTCGCACGAATCATCCTATTAACGATCTTTGGTAGTCCTGAGAATTCGCAGCTACCCATATAGGGTCTTACAATCGGCCCAGTGCTGGGCCGTTACTGGCTAAGTACTGGATGATGATTTGGGCCCAGTACTGGCTGACAGAACTTTGGTCGTCATTTGACAGCCAGTCATTTGCCAGTGACGACCCAGTACTGGTTGACAGAACCTTGGTTCTGTCAGTCGACAGTCATAGCGTTGGCTAAGCTTTGGTTTCATTGTAACTACTGGCGACCCTATATGGGTATTTAAGTTTGTTAATTCAGACCGTGTGATGCCAAGCCTCGAATGAACTTCGCTGTACAGACACCTGTGCGCGGATATGAGAGACTCGTTTAACACACCTTTACGCACCGCGATTTACTTATAGTACAACCGACGAGGCGCAGGAGAGATCCGCGATTTCTATCGCTGATCTCTACGTATAATCATTTCGCAAATACTGGCTTTGTGTCCCTTTAAACCTCTGACGTAGACACATACAGAGAGCATCTCTAAATATACAGGGTGTCGCGCCCACCCTCGGAGGTTTCGCGCGGAAGCCGGTAATACCGGGTGTTTACGCGAAAACCACGACGTGTCTACGCGTACTGTATCCAAATCACACACACGTAGACACGATACAGATAGGCACGGAGTAGAATACAGTGAATCAACACGAAAATGAGAAACGAAGATGACTGTCTGATGGATGATTGTCTCGTCCATCTATACTATTCGTCTACGATCCGACTATTCTGTAAATTTATTATATAATCTGATTGTAAACGCATAGTATAGATAGACGGGACGATGGTCATCTTCGTTTCTCACATTTTCCTGTTAAATAAGGTTCATTGTTATTATTAATACATGAAACAATCAACATAGACTGAAGATTAGAGTTTCTTCCGATTATTGCTAACATCACGTGATAATACTGCACAGTTATTTTTATTGTTTTCGTCTATTTGGATTACGATTGGTTTGGATACTTTACGCGCAACTGGCATCAATGAATCATTCCCGATTCTATGTATACATCCGAATCTACACTGCGTCAGCTCTCTTTTCGTGCTGGGATTGCTCGAAGCGAGAGGTGGAGAACTTGATGACGTTACGAGTCGAGAGATTACAATGTGCACTTGTTTAATTTTATCCAATTGTTTAATTTTTACCAATGTTGAATTTCTAGGAAAATGATAATCGGCACCATCGAGGTGTGCTACTACTCTTTAGTGAAAAAATAGTCTTCTCACACAGAAGTTAAAGAAAAACACAGATCCGTGTGATTGTATCTCGATTAGGATTATTCGAATAAAAAATAATTTTCGCTCGCTAATGACTCGGTTTTTGTCCCTTAAGAATTTAAAGAAATTTGTCTAAACGATACTCGAATAATCTCGCATGTGAATTGTAACGTAACATAAACTCGTTACCGTCACATCTTAGGCTGTGTTTCAAAATTTACTGCCAGTATTGAAAATCTATAGTGCATATGACATAAACTATGGATTTTCAGTACTGGCAGTAAATTTTGGAACACAGCCTTAATATCCCCTATACCTTTAATATTTTTCAAGTCGACAATTCGTTATAAGAGAAACACAATCACCATGTATGACATTTATATATCTGCATTTACGATTAATCTTTCATGTGAGGACGCGTTGCGTTCCTATCGCGCTTCATAGAACCAGGAAAGCTTGTTGTACACGGAGATAAATTCACTTTTCACTATCTATGAAGACGAATATCGGATGTCAGTTCAACGAAATCGCATCGGCCTGATGGAATCTCATAATTTTTTTTTATAAAAAGAAAAAGTGACTTATTCGCACATTCCTAGGTACAACATGTAGTCTTACGGAAGCGTGAGATACTTGCCGATGTCGCGGGCGGATATTGTCGAACCCGCCGATCAGATCTCGCTTCTTACGCACGCGCTATGCTATCGGTTGCACGAAGTAAAAGAAAGATACGACGATGTACAGGGAAGAACGGGGGTGCGATCGGGCACATCGCGCAACGACGAAACTCACCCCGTCGCGAACACCTCGCATTCAGAGGCCGAAGTTACTCTCCAGATTTTCCAGATTCGAAATTGAAGGCACAACGCACCATTTGCCTTTGATATACGCGCACCCCTCTCTCTTCGTTATCCACCACCAGACGCGAAACAGGGGTGTGCTTTCGTCGAATTTTGCCGTCGTCAACGCCGGCAAACGCGCTGTGTTGTCTCTCGCTTGAGGGTAGCGTCTCTCGTCGTGTTTCAAAAAATAAAATCGTCCGCACTTCTTTTTTTTTTGCTTTTTTCGTTTTTCTCTTTTTTTTCTCTCTTTATGAGCACGTTCTGCGTGTCTTCGTCGTCTCCTCGTTCCATCCGTGAGGTCGACGACACCGCAGCTCTTTCGACGGACAGGTCGACGGATTGGTTTCCAGGCGCGGCGTCGCCGATCTCTTCTGAGCAATATACGTGGGACAGCCCCGTGCCGCATCGCCGGGAATCCTCCCTGAGCGAACACATCGACCCGGGGCAGCGGAAACAGGAAATATGTTGAACGTGGTATGCGTGCGACGCGACCGCTTCGCCGATACTTCGTATCGCGAGCCTGCGATCGCTCTCGGCTCGCATCCGCGTTTTGCGTCAATCTTCATCCGGGCTGTCAGATCATCCTCGCGAGAAAACTGCGCCGAATTTATCTCCTTTGTTCGCTAACTGTTTCCTTTTAAATTTGTTTCAAAAGCTTCGAATCTTCAGAAATGCAAGTGTGGCCGTAGTGGCGTAAACCTGTTCTCCATTCCAAAGGATTCAAATCCAGCCAGAACCCATCAGATGATTTTATTTGATCGTTATTTTTCAGAAAGCAATGACAAACCATTTAAAACACCTTCCAGTGGTAAAAGAATCTGCGGCGTTAAATATGATGAATCCATAATCATCTAAATTAATTTTAGATAATGTTCTAATTTTAGATAATTACAGATTCGTTATTAAAACTGTAGATCCCGCATACTTGTGGCAATTGAATAATCAACATGCGTACCACAAACATATGAGAGAGATGTAACACAGGCCAGAAGCCTAAGAGGAAGAAGAAGGTTCATTATATTTAGCGTCGCAGATTTTTTGCTACATTAAATTTAAAATATAACATTGACTATTTTAACTATTTTAAAAATAAATTTACCATTGGCAAGGATATTCTTGGCTTGCCATTGACTTCCGAGAAGTAGCGATCAAATAAGATCATTTGATATGTGTTCTAGGGAAATTCAAATCCCCTGATTTTTGACACAGAGCAGACGCGCAATTCTTTACGTCATGATCGTTACATCTGTACTTTTGAAGACTCGAAACTTTAAACGAATTTGGAGATAAATTTGCCGATAATTTGCATTAAATAAATGTTTCGACGAGCATTGGCTCATTTTCTTCGCAAAAAGAACGGCTGCCCGGATAAGGACTGAGCCTAGCGATACCAATAAGACATCTGATGGTATATTATCAATGGTAGAAGAGCAGGGGGATACTTCTCTAAAATCCACCGACATAATTAAATTACAACGTGACGTCCTTTTGCCTCTCTAATCTCCGCGACAGCTACCTAACACTGTCCTTTTAAATTATATATAGGGTAAATAAAAAAATATGATGATTCAAACACGAGCTTTTGGCTTCGGTCTGCGTCACTTGGTACCGCTAGGATTGATAAACCTGCCAGATACCAACAGGTTGTTCTATACACCCGAAAGATCATCGAACGTTCAACACCTTTCTAGATACATAGCTTTCAATATTCTTTTTCTAGCGTCGAACATTCCGCAGCCGATCCTCGTGTGCACCTTATACAGGCTTGAGGAGGGATAACACACGACGTAGCGAGTCAACGCCGATCATTTCGTATTCTTGAAACTCAATGAAACATCTTGTCTAAACGCGCCGTTCATCCTCGTGTTGAGACAATTGTCGTTTCACGTGGAAAACTGAAGCGAACCACGTTGTCTCGACGTGCCGTGTGTTATCTCACCGTTATCTCATCTTACGGTAATATTTACTGGATCCGACGAACTGTCCGTTAATTTCGCAATGACGGACGCGTCCGCGGTCCAACAGTGCGCGATCTCGCGCAACGTAGATATATTTATACTTATAAACTTTATGCATCTTTTTTTCTTTCATTGTTAACAGGCCGTGGCTATACAGGGCCCTCTACGCTTTCAATTCAGTCTGTGGCACGCGGTCTTCCGAACAGATCATCGATTACGATGGTACATACATGCATGCATACGTGTATATGTCTGTGTGCGCGAACATATATGTGTATGTGTGTATGTGTTTTGTGTATGAGATGTAATACGCAATTAAGATGTTATATTTCATCGTCCTCATCATTTCGACCGTCCCGAGATGTGTACTGAACGTCGCTAACATCCTCGCCCCTTAGATGATCCTCGTCCTGGAATATTTCCGTTTCAGGCGCGAACAATGAAGATTTATCTCCACGTCGAAGTGCCTCCGGTCGGTCCTCGTCGAGCAAACTGCAGTTTGATTTGCAATATCGTTGGTGTTAATAATGTATCATCTTACGATCGGAGCTCGTAAAAAGTTTGCTTCGGTGTTTCTTCGAGGATTTATCCGACTTGACGGATCGCACTCGGCTTGGTTTCGTACACATAATTCTGTATACGCTTTCCTTCTTCACTTTTCTGCACTGACGTTGTCGCCTCCATGACCCGTATAAATACACCAGTACAAGACGTTGAAAAGAATGAACATGAATGGGAAGGCATAGCGCGCAATGTAGTCGATTCTCGCGCTGCCTCGGGCATCATCCGGATATCCACATAAAAGCAATTTCCTCAGCCAGTAGCGCGTTTTCGACGACACCGTAGCCGACATGGGCAGCGGTGTCGTGGACGAAATCGGTATCGCGATCGGCGGCGAAGGTGTTGCGGCGCGCAACGGCGTGCCCAGAGGCGACGCTGAGGAGGCTGGCGAAGGCCATCGCGACGGCGACGACCTCGCCGAGCTTCTACGCGAGTGATGTCGCGGTGCCTTCATCGGCGAACATCGGCCGGCGACGCAATCTTCGTCGTTCAGCAGCGAGAAAGTCGGCGATGGCGAACGATTCGGATGATAACGCTGATGACGATGTAACTGATGATGGTGGTGGTGCTGCTGCTGATGATGATGGTCCTGCTGATACGTACGCGGCAGCGAATGATGTTGTGTCATCGACGGATTGCTGCCATGAGTCTGCTGTTGCTGTATATAAAAATGACTGTGATGACGGGGAGGATCATGATGATGGTGATTCTGAGAAGGATGATGATGATGATGATGATGACGATTATGAGGCTGATGATACAGTTGTCGTTGACGAGGACGTGAACGTTGTTGCGGCGGTCGTGTCTGTTGGAACTGTTGTTGCTGAGGATGGCCGCGAGCCACTTCCCTTGTTGATCCGAGCGCCTTCCCCTCGAGATTTATTCTTGCCCCTCGTCCTCCCGAAACAGGTACGTGGACCAATACGCGAGGTTGAAGAAAGCGAATACGATTGGGAAGAAGATCCGTGAAATGACGTCGATGCGCTTGGACCTCGTCGGGAACTTGGACAGCCACGACCTGCAGCAGTTTTTTTTCCGTGGTTGCATATGTATTTCGCACTGCTGCAATTTATCCATCGACATGGAATCCTCCGGGTGTCGGACCAGAGGCTTCTGAAAGAATTCGGGTGGTATTGAACCATTAATTTCTCGTACTCTTGGCTCCTTAATTCAAACTATTTCGATTCTAATCGAAAGAATCTCGACCCTCTTCTTTTTGCTGCATAAAAGAATCTCATTTTCATCTAGAAGAAGCGTCTAGAAAAATGGATCAGGTCCTGATCTCTTCCTTTGGTGCATACAAACTCAGATTTTTCAATTGCAATTCTTTATAATAAATAAAAAAAAATATGCTATCCCGGCTGAGGCAATATTTTTCGCAACAAATTTTTCGTAGATTTATGATTTTAACGTCTAGATTATTAATAAGATGCTTATTAGCATCAAAAATGATTAAATTGCTTGTCAATTTAATAAGTGATATTACTACTCTGGTTCTGCTCTTGATTGCGTTTCAAGACCGAAAAAGATTTCAGCGATCAGAATCAGATACGTAACATAAATTCACGCAGAAATATTTGAGCACTAAGATCCGCTTTGACCGAAATAGGATTTCTCTTGTTTAATTAGAGTTGCTATGATGTTGCCGCAACACACGTTCACGTCCTCGTCAACCAAAACGAAAGTTTCCGGAAAAGCTCGAAGAGAAGAAAGCAGCTATGTCGGAAGTATCTTGAGCGCGTGCATGGAGATGCTCGAGGAACGTCATGCCTTGTTGGTATACTAACCATAGCGAAGTTGGTTGATCCATCCGGCTCGAGCAATTCCGAAGACGGATCAATCGACGACGAATGTTCCATCTCGTTCTGTGGAAACTGCTTCTTTATGTTGTCGCTGTGCATGTCGCTACGCGACGCGTAGTTGACCAGCGCGAATTCAAGTAGTGCACCGAACACGAAGGTCAAGCACACTCCTGTCCAAACGTCGATAGCCTTCGTGTAGGAGACCGGTGGCAGTGAGGCGTTTATCCCCGATGTCTGAGTGGCCATTGTCAGCAGTGTCGTAACGCCTGGACGGGAGAAGACCGACAGACTTTTTGTAGATTTTTGTTATTAATCTTGTGAGAAGATTCAATAAACGCTAGTAAAAAAAATTAATAAAACAGACGAGTTTCTATAAAAGTGTATTTCCCTTTTTTTTTTTTCTTTATAAGATCATTAATCGTTACATTATTAACTAGCCTTTAAATATTTCATTTCAATGTGTGCATTGCAGCTCGTCGTATTTAACGTTAAAACTGATTTAAAAATAAATTCAATCATTCACATTCAACCAATATCTGCAATTCTATTCGTTCTTTTAATAGTAATATTGATTTTTCTTATTTCTGGGTATAAATTTAAACACTTTAGTGTATTTATTTTAATCTCTGTCGCGTGGCGATCACGTTTCGCTCTTCGTTATGATTATTTATGGCTGCGTTCAGCAGAAAAAACTTTGCAAACTGTATTGGAAGATTCTTTAATACGATTGATTCATACATTTAGATTCAATGAAGAACTAAGAGCGAGAACAATCAAATTAAAGAATTTTATAACAACTGCAAAGCTATTTCTTCTGCTTCTTCCGTAGCCTACGACACAGAAAGTTATTTTTGTAGTATTAACAAATTTGCTGTGCTGTTACAACAAATACGATTATCTATAATCGCTAATTTTATTCAGCTGTACTTTGTCAATTTAACATAGAAAAATAGCTATCCGTATATTACTGTAGATTTGCTAAATCAGTGAAGTTTTTAGTTACTTTAATAAATCTTTTTTTTCCTTGTTACGTGAATTGTAACTCTGAATTGTAACATCGCTTTGTGCCTAGATAATAATTTGTACCTAGTGACACCCGGGCAGGCACGGCGCTCTGATCCAGCCAGAAAGACACCCAGGACACGATAACGAGCATACAGCATGGGATGTAGATTTGAATGAGATAGTAACTGAACTCTCTCTTGAAGAGCAGGTCCACTTTCAAGCAACTGTACTCTCCTGTTTTTTTGTTTTATTTCATCGTTAGAATCGTTATATGAGTTCATCATGTTTTTCTTCTCAACGCAAGTCTCCACTTACCGGTGTTCGTCTTGCTATTGCAGTAGTCCGTGAGGAATTTCTCGAGGGTGAACCTGGGTAGGTGTAAATTCTTAACCACTTGAACGGGGTCGCCTTCCTTCCATTGAAAGACCAAATCGTTCATCGTCCATCCGTCTATCGGGACGGACGAAGACGGTTATTATTGGACGAATGATTAACTTCGATAATGTTTAACGGAAAAATATTTACTGCGGAGAGTTAATCTAGCTAAATGGGACGGAAAACAAAGTTTACCGAGTCGTCGGAATTACTTACAACTCGCCATACGAAGTGAGCAAGTTTGTCGATCCAGGGGATACAGTTTCAAATTCATGGGGCACGAGAGCGTCAAAGATATCCTGCGTCAGGGGAAGAAAAATAACGATGGTTTATATAATGTCTCTCTGTGGAAGTAAGAATCCAATTCGCAATGGTTACACAAACGCGTTTGTGTTTCGTCATTCGGCACGGTACACAAGATATAGATCTCCGATGTGTATTTTAACGAAGCGAATTTTGCGACATTTGATTATCACGAGGATGAAATGCGAGTGTAACGCGTAATAAATTCCCGTCTATGTATTGAACGATTGTAATTTGGATCAGTAGTTCGCAGAGGGGAGAAAAAAAAAGAAGAAGAGACATCAATAATTCTTCGTGAAAAATTGCGCAATCTCGCTGATTAGCTGACTCTGCATTCGCCGTACATCGATTATATTCATAACGCTGGTACTCACCGTATGCTATAAAGAACCGAGCCATCCGGGAAAATTCGTATGTATACGTTCGGCATAATGATGTTGTGAAAGTGACCCTCCTTCTCGTTCGAGAAGAACAAATCTGGCATCCAGACGCGGCTAGCTTCCGTCAGAGTTAAATATTTAAGTTTACCTGCAACGTTCAACGAGAACAGTGGGTACACCCGTGAAAAATAGGCGTACGTTAACGAATACGGTATCGCTCGTTAGCGTTCATTCAGTAAGCAGAAAGCGCGAATATCAGCGGCAATTTGCAAAAGGGAGATAAAAATAGCCGCTATTAAATTTGCGTAACGACCAGCGCGAGCGAATAAAATGTTACAACTCGCCCTTTGCGGCGCGATATAATTGCAATATGAAAAAAGTGTAGGTATAAAACGCTCTTTGTGCATCCGAACTTTTCCCGTTGACCGCAAAATATCGTGTTTGTGTGATGTTACTGCATGAAGATACTTTGGCATTTATGGAAAATAAAGGAAGGATGAACTTTGATCGGACTTTTTGATTTTTTCCATATTGCAACCTATACCAGTTACGGGGAATACATCCCACCTTTAAAACTATTATTCTTGTATTCATATGACATGGCATTGTACACGCATTGCACGACTGTTATATTATTGTTGTTCCCATTTTATCGCACCGTGACTTTTTATCAGCGTCGAAACATCGATACCGGAATTGCGTGGAAATTTCAAATTGAAAATCAGTTATAAAATACTATTATGAACTTTACGTACCTCCAAAGTCATTAAACCGTAATCTCTCATCCAACCATTGTTCCCGAAATGTTAATTGTACGGAGTATTCCTGGAGAGAAGAAGAATAAATACGATTAAACAGCGTCGCGCGTTATAGCAGCGAGTAATGTAAAGAGTTATTCCTTTTTCTTCTTTAGTTAGTAAGTCTTTCTAATTATAAAGTTTCGAAAGAAACATAAAGAACGTGCGTAACGAAATAAACAGTAACAGAAGTCTAAATTCATCTTGAATCAAATAGTATTTATAATAGAGCAGCGAAGTCTTTGTGAAGAATGAAGAAAATAGCTTCGCGTAAATGATAACTCCGCATTTAATGAAGAGTTTTAATTATAATTACAATTGTATTTTTAATTCAATAATGATCAGTTCTCGAGAACGAGTATACCATTTCAATGCGACACGTAAAATCGAATAAAGCATAAAAGAAAGTTGAATTAAAAAAATGTAATCTCTTTCTTTCCTCTTTATATATATATAGGTATATATTATTCGATAAAATCTCGCACCTATAAAAAGCAATTATTCAAACACCTCGTAACACAAAGAGAATTTCTTTCTATCTATAGGTAATATTATCGCCACTCTGGAACGTGCAACGCCAAACTGGTTGTCAATATTCTTACCATAAAAAAGAAGTGATCGTTAATACACAGAGATGGATTTCAATTTCATGTTAAGAACTGTATTCTCGAATAGGTCGAATATTTTGACATCGTTTTAGCAATTGACGTAGTTGCAGCTTTCATTTAATTTTTCTCAAAAAAAAGGAACTGTCTGATATCATATCATACAAATTATATTTTGCATCGCATGATAAATGATCAAATTACAGGGAGACATAAAAAATTAATGAAAATAACGTTTCAAAAAGAGATTTCAATCACTGCAGTAGATTAACGAGGTCAGTAACATTCGTGCCCATTGATCCACATCTGCGACATTAATCTGCCTTGGCGTAATCGCGCATGTCGATAAGTTAACTCGTCACGGATCGAACTGATGCATTTAGGTGGAAGGACGTCATTTCATCGAGTTGCACCTGAGCGACGTACAACACGCGTCAATCCGTGACGACTATCTATCACTTGGTAATGTGTGTGTCGAGAAATATGGAACAGAAGACCGGAGATGTTATATATCGGTAACGGTGGGAAAAGCGTCCCGGGAAGACGAAAATCCTGGATTGGAATGAATTATTGAAACGCATCCGGGGACGTTTTTCCGCGATAAAGCGATCATGCGACTCGAGGGCGTTTACAAGCGTCGACAGGACATCAATAGCCGATCTGTCGTCAAATGCTCCGAATAACACTGGCGCAGCCAAGGAGATGGGGCGGTGGGATCAAGGGCCATGCAAAAGCGAACACCGAGGACCTACCATGATGTAATCAGATCAAATGCCAGAAATGTCTCGGGCACTATTGCGCAATCTGTTAGCGGTAAATAAAAGAGAACGCATGCAGTTTCGCTCACGGTGCTCTCGTGTTCCTCAGCTCGCCTGCGACCGTTCCTGCGGCGGGCGTGCGAAGTCCTGTGTGACCTGTTTCCTATTTCAGAAGGGGGTATAAAGGGAACGCTTTCGCAAATACATATTTCTTTTCCTCTTTTCAAAATATTTTCTTCCTTCCTCCTCGTTTCCCTCGACCTACCGACCGCCAATTTTCGTCTATCCTCCACGCTCGGTGCAGTGCAGTTTCACTCTACAATGTTTTTTAACGTGAAAAAACATCCCGTTGGCCCTTCTCTTTTTTTATCTAACTTCTTTCTCCCTGTCGGCTTGCGGTATTAGTTTTCAACTTTAAAGTGTGCCAGAGCTCACACTCGTGTGTGTTTCGCTCTTCTCCGCTCTCCTCCGCTTCTAACTCGTCCGATGGTTTTGTTCCGTCGTTAACTTTTTAGCGACTCGGCCGTATTCGCACGCATCTAATATCGGCGGAAAGTTTCTGAAAAATTGAGGAACATACCGCCAAACGAGGATTTACCGGTCACCCTCTTTTCAAGCTTTCGTTCATTCTATTTTTCCTTTTCTTTTATTTTCTTTTTTTTTTGCACAACGCGTCGTTTTTCTTTTTTTTTTTTTTTTCTAGTATAATACATCACTCACAGAGAAATAAAATACGCTAAACACGTTTGGATGCCCGTTTGTACTTCAAGGTACTTATCCTTCCCGTGTAACGCGAACGACGGAGCTTTCCTTGGGACAGGTATCGTGTGCAATACTACCGCGATTATACGACATGCACTCGCGATTTTCGCATCTCTCGAGATAAAAGCGATCATCGCTTTTGTATCCGTATGAAAAATATATCTTGTGCGCATAAAACGACGTTATGGAGATTCGTCTATCGTGCGTCGGAGGAAGATTTCGAACGGGAAATCGAGTTGTTCTTTCAAATGTATGCATCTTGCACAAAAATTCTATGACACCGACTGAAGAAATTGCCATTGGCGGAAAGACTTTTTCACACTCGATTTGATTAAAGTGGAGGATAGAAATTACTAGTAAATCATCGCAATGTTCTTGCGGTAACATCTTCGTGGAGACCCAAATCGCCTTTCTAAAGCTAACTGCTCGAATCATAAATTGTACGAAACGAAATAAATATGTGCGATCATTATAGAGAACTGATATATATATTTTTTTGCAACCCATTAAACATTTTTAAAAATAATATTACGTCATATATATATCATACGTGGAATAACGAATAATCGAATGTGTCGTATCATCGAGGGTACTTACGATGATGACGTAAAATTATAATAAATACCAATAACACAGCGACAACACGTCGAGGGGGGTTTCATACATAATCCTGACGTATAAGATCTAGCACACAGTCAATATCTCAATTTTATGCTACACAATGACAAATGCAAAGCATCCAAAAAATCATCAGTGTTCTATATTTAAAAAAAGGGAAGAGAAAAATGGGGAGGGTAACCGCAATGCAGCCCTCGAATTTACGTCGAACGATCCTGCAGCCGTAAGATAAAGACAGCCTCTATTATATTTCGGGCTACGTTGGCACCGGAAGCTGTTGCGCGCGGTAACAGCTGGCTCGTAATTTTTCCCTGGCTCTTACCTTTAACGAACGACAGTCATCGCTATCTCTACCTTTCTTACGGGCAAAATTCTCGAATTACGCGCGCTAGGGCGATATATTTGCCGTTTAAGCCGGCCGCTCGACGAAACGAGTGCTCCTTTTTCTCGCGTCGTCCGTAATTAACGCGGAAACGGCGATTTGTTTCTTTCCCCCCCCCCACCCTCCCCCTCCCCTTGGGAAATCGCACGGGATATTTAAACGTGTCTGGAGTGCAGATGCACTTACACGGGTAGAGAAGCACAACTCGATTATCGCGAGGCGACAATAGGCTAATTGGTCGAGTCGAGTCTCTCTCGATCCCCCTTGCGAAACGGGTAGTTTTTAGCGAGTAAGAAAGTATTATATATCGTCACTCTGTTGTTCCGGCAATTGTCCTGATGGCAATGGGATAGTGGGATGTGTCGCGAAAAATAACGCTCGCGAACCCTCTATGGACCGTGTCATTATTGTTGTGACTTTTATCTCTTTTTAACACGCTCATATCCGAGGAAAGAACGGCGTAATATTTATCAGTTGCTATTAAAGTTGATCTCTCTCACTATTTTATGTCGTTATAATAAATGTGATTCTATAATTAACTCGATGATCATGAACGTCAAAAATGAATCGTGAAAGAGAAATATTGACATGTAAAAAATACGTTATATATATTTTATATATATATATAATATATATATATACATATATATATAAAGACATTATATATATGGCCGGAAAGAAAATTCAATTAAAGTTAAAAGTTTCCACATCACGTCTTCACACAAATTTGCTCTACTAATTTCCTTGATCACATCGGAGAAACTCCCTTTGAGATTTTTAACTTCGATCGGAACTTCCGACTCGCCGTCGTCAGGCATTGTTTCGAAGTTTTGTTTAGGTCACAGAGGGTTCCACGAGATTTCGGGGCCAATACTGCCAATCAGCTTGCTCGGCGATTCGTCCGTATTCCGTTTTCATCGCCGATGAGCAGCCTCACGTGTTAAATTTTGTTTCGCTTAAAGCAGCGTCTACGACGAGATATTAAAGCGTAAAACTTGAGCTTTAAGTCCTAAACCGTAAGAAATTGACCAATCATCTGGTCAATTTTTTATGACTTAGGGCTTAAAGCTTAAGATCTTAAGACGTGAAATTTGAGGTTTGTGCCTTGAATTATAAGAAACTGACCAATTATAGTCGATTATTCTTCTCACACTTGACTGATTGGTCAATTATGACTTGGGGCTTAAAAGCTCAAGTTTTACGCCTTAAAATCTCACTGTAGGCGCCGCTTAAACGATGCGCATACACAATGCGTTTTCTTCGTGCGCTATTTACGGAGAACGGGTTACGATCTTCCGTCTTGACGCGCTTATCCTCGTCTCGCCGTTACCGTCTCCGATATATTCGCTCGCAATAAAAATTCTAACAGCGGCATTATTCCCACGCGAATTTCCCTCCCATCCCTCTGAATTTGTTCCTAAGCGCAGCGGTATGCTCATTCAGTTGACAAATATTTGTCGGGATAAACGATGCCGAACGTGCCCGTACTTATGAGAACGTGATACAGAATGAAAGAAATAAAGGAGACAGAAAAGAGACAAGTAGAGAGAGAGAGAGAGAGAGAGAGAAGCGAAAGTAGAAGATGAAGAAAGACGACAGAAAGGACGGATTCTTGCAGGGCCTAAAATTGAACGACCGATTTTTTCTCTAGCAATACCTTCAATGCGTAACGATTCCGATGAATATAATATTTATCCCGTGGTTCAGTTTAATGATTACGAGCGCATGATGTCCGAATAGCGAAAGTAGGAAGAGGGATATGTGAACAAATATCGTTTTTGTTTTTTTATTGTGTGATGCTGGCGTGTGAAGCGTAACGAGTCTCTGATTCGTCGAAACAGAATGCCAATTATCTCGACGAGTTCCGCGCGACGGCTGGGGAGATAGAAAAATCAATGCTCGAATCGCGGTGTCGAGAAGAATTCGACTGGACGTCATTTATGATGGAGCTTCCACCCGAAATCGTATCCGACGTATATCGAAGCGAATCAACAAAAGAATGGCAATGATTACCGTAATATTGAGAACTCCGTAATGCACTGAACCATATTGAAATTTATCGCTCGTATATATTCATGTGAAGTTTATCGCTCGCATTCATTTTTCCGCCCATCGTGGGATATAAATATCCCTCTCCGACAAAAGATGTGTTATACATGGCTTTGAGTAAGTAACATAAAGATCGCCCTCCAATCTCGCCGCGACTGAAGAGTATCGGTTGCCTACTCATCTTGACACAGAATTCCAAGGAATCGTGCGAAACCCACCCACGGAGAGCAAGAAAGTCAAAATAATGTCACGTTGACGGAATTATGATTAAAAAAAAAAAACAACATAAATTCAGTCAATACATAGAAAAAAAGATTTTCTCTGCCGCAGCTAATCTTAGTTTGTTATAATATATTTGCTGCCGTAGCTATAAATTTATAAATTACAGCGAAATGGTTTGCTGTTGCTGCTATAATATAGATATCATAGCTAAGACATTAGCTATAATATCTATATTTTAGCTGCCCACATTTTACACCTGCCATTTAGTTACCACACGCAGTTTTTAATTACAACAGCTACTTTTCTATCCGTCAATGTCCTAATCAGTCAATGTGACGTCGAATTGACATCATTTTGACTTTCTTGTTCTACTTTGGGCCACTTAACGTTGACGACCTCCACGAGATATCGTTTGCATTTACAATCAACGAGGCAGAGACACGCGTGCGTGTGCATGTGAATGTGCGTGTGCGTATGTGCGTGTATATCGAGCTTACTGTCTCTCGTCTGTTAGGCGAGCAAACCTGAGGCCCCGCAACGTGTCTCGGAACGCATTTTGAAATTGGACTTCCGAACGCGTGCGAGCGCTCGTGCCCGCGATTGTGTCCTCCGCCGTTCTCGCGGGCACACGTCGGTCAGTCTCTATAGCAAAGGTTCCAACAAGGCACAAGACGTGGTTGCAACGTACAGTCAATCGAACGTTCGTACGATCAGTACGGGTGCTTTCCATTCGGTGACACGGGTCAAAACAAAGCGTCGTTCTATCTTGTTACGCCCTGAAGAAAGGCAGAATGACGCTTGCTGTCACCGACTTGTGTCACCAAATGGAAAGCACCCTATATACAGCAACAGACAAATTACTGATCGTACACTGCAGGCGCGACGCAGCTAAAGCTCTAGTATACCAAAGTAGAGCAATCCTTTTATCCGAGCCGAAACGCCGACAACTTTCCTATTGGCTATTTCGACCGCCATTTTCGACCTAGTCCAATAAGCGCTTAGTATTATTGGTGTATGGTATGATTGATAAGTCGAAGATGGAGGACCTTTGCGTTACTTTGATGTATCTAGAGCTTTAACTGACAGCTTCACTGTGCCTTGTCACCGCGCGGATTCTTCAGCCAATCCCAAGTCGATTTCTCCTTAACGAAAACCTCCCGTTAATTTCAACGTTCGAATACATTCGAGTCTGTCGAATTAAAACAATAGATGGATTACCTCATGTACCGTATTCCCTTGCGACATAGAATTCGCATTAAGATTTCGATACGTCAATCCGTTTCTCCTACTTCCTCCCTTTCATTTGAAGGAGAGACCGACTCCTGAGAATTCAGCCGAAAACTCCACGCATGGATTCCGGGCACGATAAAGCCGGGACGGCCTGTACAATATGTATGTATATAGACTTAACATGACAGTTAATGACATCGAGAAAAATCAACGAGGTGCGATTAGCACACATCCATTGTCAGCGCGACGCACGGGAGTATGCATATACATGTATATACGTATGTACGTGTGCAGAGATACGTCACGCGCGCGGGACCAGACTGATAATATATATATATGCATATATACGTATACATATACACGTAATACAGATACAAGTACAGAGAAGTGCAAATCTTACGGCATCATATACACGTGACGTTTTAATATAATTGTACACAATATGTGAGGATATACAGACTGTAGGCCTTGTTGATGATTACTTGTATATTGCACTCACCATATTATAATCATCTATTTTGCTGATAGAGCGGAGAAAGATGTTGACCTTCACATTTGTCGGGCCATCTAACACGTCGACCGGAACAGAACAAAAGAAATCGATTAATTAAATCGGTCGCCGTGAACCGAGGATCGCTGGCTTTGTATTTTCTTTGCTTATTTTTTTTTTTTTTGCTTTTGGTTAATTCGCTTTCGCTTTCATTTAATTTACCGGGATAATATAACTTGCGGTGTGGGTGGATCATTAATGAATGAGAGGACAGGAAGAGGAGGACGGGAAGGGGGAAAGGAGGCGAGGGAATGATAGAGGCATCGTGATAAGATGATTCTGAGACTCATCGATTCTCTCGAACGCACGTGTCGCACGCGTCAATGGATCGAACATCAATAAATAATGGATTAATCGCGAATGTCGCTTCCGCCGATCATACGATACGCATCCGAACGAATGGACAAAACGACAGAGCATTATCATCATGCACTTCTGTGCCCCGCGATAAAATCACGACAAACCGCACGATATATATTCGGTGTATTTTCGAAAAATCGTTATTACTAAATCAAACTCCCGATAAAGTGTCATACTCGTAACACGTGCTCGTTCACTGACGATTAATTTTTACGGATGACACTTGAAATATCGCTTTATTTCAGTTTTTAATCAGTTTGAAACACTCCTCCGAGAGGACGGGAGACCTTCCATTATCTTGCCGCGAGGCACAGGTCGCATATCTCGTTACGCGATCCAATATGTGTTGTATAAAAAAAGCGTAAGAGAGTTTGGAGATGAGCTTGGATATATGCAGATATCGTGAGATCGATATAAAATTTAAATAAACACGCTACGCGCTACGACATTTAAATGGCATGGGGTGATGCGATGGGGCGAACTATACTGCAGCGATTTAGCGAGCGTGTTAGCTTCTTCTTATCCCACAGCTCGATTAATACCTCACGCAAATAACTAGCGAATCGTGTGAAAGCTACGGATCTGCTACAGTCGAGGAAAAAAAAACGAAAGAAAAAGACTCGTCTTGAAAGCCAATGTGGAGTAAGATCGATTTGGATTTGCGGATGACAGTATCCTTTGCTGTGCGATCTCTTATAGGAGCGAAAACGGAGTAACATCCAGCGCTAAAAGCGACGATTATTGATCCGTGCGCTTCGCCAAGTGTAAACAAATCCCATAAGATGTAACACAGGTAAGGAATAAAGTCGATGTGCATATGTGTTGGGTGCCTGCGCGTAGCACATCGAATGGAGAATGCTTCAGCTGTCGCTTTGCGTGTAATCCGGTATACGACGAGCGATACGAACACCGTCGAATTTAAAAAAAAGCCGAATAATATATCAGGGTATCCCAAACGTTCTATTCGAGATATTCGGGGAGACGCATGAACAAAGCGAAATAATAAACATGAGAAGAAGAAAGAACAACAGTCATGAAAATAGATGTATCTGACAAGGGAACGTATTATTGTACATTGCAAACATGATATCAGAAAATTGACGTTATCGAAAAATTTGAAATAAGTATCTTAGATGGTCAAATCTTGGGATTTTATGGATTCTGTATCCAATGACTTGTTTGGTCATTTTAACTTAGACACAAAATATCTTGAGAATGCATTATTGAAAAAAAATGTTTCGATAAAAGTTGTAGGACCCAATAAGACCCTGGACCCAAAATCTAAATACTTATCTGAGTCCCTTTCAAACCCTACAACTTTTACTTGAAACATGTTTTTTCAAAATGCATTGTTTTCGAGATATTTGTATCTAAGTTAAAATGACCAAACATATTTAAATCCCAAGATTTGACTATCTAGAATACTTGTTTCAAACGTGATCTTTCGGTTAGTAATGTTAGATTTTTGATATCACTTTTGCAATGTAGGACGTTTCTTTATAAGGCACGCAAGGCGACATTCTGAAGAAGTTTCTACATTCGGATGCTGCGCGGACATCCGAAATACTTGAAAAAGAAATGCGTTCTACTGCGGGCTTTCGGAGTGAATCGGAGTTAATCGTGGTCCCATTATACGCCTTCGACGGCCGTCTGTCCCCGCCCTCCGTAATGGGCCCGACCAAGTGTCTCCATCGGAGGTCAACCTTTGAACACAGAAGGGGCCCGATTGTCGCGACTTCGCATTTTTCGCTTCTCTCGTGGACGCTGCTCTCGGACACGCGAGGCACACCTTCGTCGTCGTCATCGTCTTCGGAGCGGTTGCGCGGCATGGGGATTAGAAACACCTAGGAGAGGATCCTAGAATCCCATTGCCATGTTCGTGTTTGTCTATGTCGTTTTCGCGATGAGATAATCGATAATGGGCCGTAAGATGCGGCGATCACGGATCACTATTTTATGCTAGATCTTACTTTTAAGAAGGAGAAATCACGCGCGATTCTGTATACCCCGATGCCGCTATCTCCAGAATCAAGATCTCTCGATCTCGATCGCGTGTAATCCTGAAGTCTTTCGTGACTGTCAGTGGAACACCTTTCTTGTGCTAAATAGCGGGAAAAGTATCAATAATGTAACGGTAATTCGCGGTAATATTTCATCGGCTCGATCGAAGGGAATGATTTAATCGATACCACGAAGGAGCAAATAGAAGACGAAAATGTCAACAGGGCTTTTTCTGCATTTTCGCATCGCACATAAACATGTGGAATATACATTATATTTTCATATCAGTCATCGAGTTTGTGTTATAAAAATTATATATCATGCCTTGCACCTCTTAATTTTTTTGCAAATATCGAATAATTTAACTTGGCTATTTATACGAAAGGTATTCGATATTTTCAACGAAAAGCTGCACATACTTTATCGCTTTTGTTTACAAATTATAAAATGAGTTAATGGTTCAAATATAACGGATAATATCCATCAATAAGATGGAAGAGAAGTTCGATAATTGAAAAGTCAGAAGAAAAATATATAAAGTGAGAGGGAGTCTAACGTAGGATGGAGTCGCTTAGCGTGTGTTGCGTAACGTTGTGTAGGAAAAGGTGGACATACCTATTATGAAAGAAAGAACGTATCGATTTAACGGAATGTCCATTAAATCTTTGACAAGCCCTGAAATACAATTCTTTTCGCTTTGCCGACGTTTGCTAAATGCTGATTGTTGAAGCAGCATCTGGTTTTAACGAACTGTTGAAAAGTCACAGACCATCGATCTCGCGTTCATTAACGTTTGTTTCAGAGAAGCGTGACAATCTCAGAAAACTCGTATTCATTCGTATTGAAGCAAAATTCTCACAATGACAATATAAGCTCGCGCGTTCAGGATCAAGGCATGGTATATACATTTATCATTGTCGTAGAGAAAATAGAAACAAGTCAAGCAAACGAGAAACTGCCATATTTTGAAGTGTGACAGTAAATTTCCTATTTTCCGGAATGCCGCCCGGACCAAAATGACCCGGGCTTTATTAAGCACCGGTAAATTAGGAAATGTTTTGTGTTGCTAATCGGCGCATTGCAGTTGCATTAAACTCTCGTAATCTAATAAGCGGGCCTCGGATATTGCCGCTCCAGTGAGATTTACTGGATGATCGTGCGACAATTGTGGATTGTTGGAGAACGATCGTTTTATGTATTTCGAAATTTGAACGCGATGGAAAGCCATCTTCCCTACTTTTTCCCCGGATTAGTGACACATAAACTAGATTTTGTATTTATCTTCTACAGATACACGTTCTGAAATATATATTGCAGTTTACAGCATAGAGAAATTAACATAAAGGGGATGAGATGCAGCACGCTATTTTGAAGTCACATTAAAGGATTAAGTTAATCTTCCTGCTGGCGCTTGTAAACAATTAAATGCAGTCAAACTGGATGTAACAAGCTTTCAAAAATAATCTACCTCGCTCGCAATGACAATATCGCAAAATTCTATATTTCCTTGCAGTAAAGAGATAAAAGCTAATTAAAGCCAGTATGCAAAAATAAATATGTAAATATTTATGACAATTATTGAAATGACAAAATATCATAAAAATTGATTCTTATGATTATTTCTGCTTCAACAATTGTCATAGACATTTATGCTTATATTTTCTTTCTAATTATATTTATATGTATATGTAAAAATAGCCCTTCTCTCTTATTCTTCAAAGAGTCTCTTTTTTATTCGTCAATCAAGTTTTCTCTTCCTCTCTCTATCTCTTTCTTTCCCGTGTCTCTTCTTTATCGTGTCATCTAATATCTATTCCGCGTTATAAGTGGTAAGGATATCGGCGCCAATGAAGTGAGCTTCAAGAGCGGCAACATCCGAGTACCACTAATAAAGAGACGGCCATACGATGCTTAACCACGGAGATATAAATCCAAGACCCGTCGCGATTAACCCAACACCACTTTAGAGAAGAAAAAGCACGCGTATAGAGTATATAATATATACGTCGATAGCACCAGTTCACATAAATATACTTCAAAGCTGCTAATTTTAAACTTTTACAGAAAATATTGTCCATTGCATTATCATTATGTCGTAATTAAATTCTTATGTAATATTATTATCATCGTATATAAATTTCCAATAATAAATTTATATTATTATTATAGCGCGTATATTTTAGAAAATAGAACTAGTGCAGCTACCTTCCTTAGTAATATTCATGTGCAGGTATAATATCGACTTCTAAATAAATTATTTGCGGACACACATACATTCTACATACATTTTACACACACACACACACATACCTTGACGTGGCCGATAAATTTTTAAATGTCATCATCTTTTCTCGCACTTAGCGTGTGAATATTTAAACGGCGGTCTGCAAACGGCGGTGGGTTAATCACGGAGATCGATAGGTAAACGAATGCGGTTCAAAGTGGGACTCGCTTCGGTGAAAACACGCCCTGGAAATTGGAGCTCTATAACGAGACCCCGAACGACAAAGTCGCCTTTCGCGTCGTCGCCAGCCCCGTGTATAATTAATTGGTACCAGGCCTGTCTAATTACACTGCCTCCGCGACGTCGTCGTCGCCGTCGTCGCCATCGTTGTCGTCACAATTGGCAATTCGCGGTTAATCCCCAACTCTGTCTCGCAGCCGTCGTCGTTCTCGCCTAAGAACGCGTCGCGTTGTTTGCGGCAATCCCCGGGCTATTTTCTGCTAAATGAGCGTATTTGCCAAATGTGCGTTGCCATTCCTCATTGTTCTAAAAGTATATCGACCGCAGACCGTCGCTCGCTCTATTTGATCGCGAGCTGAAGGAAAACGTGCATCCGACGTAAAAATATCGGTAAAAAGTTAATCGGGACAAAAATCCATTACGTTTAATCGCGGGATGTATTTGCAATTATAATTCTGGATTATTTATTTAAGTTTCACGTTGCACGATGGAAGATATTACGACGTTCTGCCCTACTCTCCCTTGATAAATAGTAGACGAGAGCCTGCACCCTAGATATATACTCGGCACGAAAACTCGGAGAGAAATGAAGCGTGTCCTGAATGTAAATCTCTCGGCTCGCGCGCAATGCGGCCGTTGAAAAATTTATCCTTGCAATTAAATTGCATTGGTCGTTGATACGCACTGCTGATTACGCTGCCGACGTGACTTGCGCCTTCAAGTCATTTCCGCAACGATTACAAGGGGTTTCGTTTACCGAGATCGTTTCCTCGGATATAGAGCACGTAAGTGTTTAATTTTCATATAGATGGGCTTAACTGGGTACGGCGTACTGGTTACAGTTACTGTTTTCTGGTAGCAATTAGGAAAAAAAAGTCATTACCAAGAATGAGATAAAAAAGGGTTGCACACTACCGCAGAGATGTAGCAGCACGAGAATGCCTTAGCGAGTATATTGTCGCACGGTGCAGTAAAGAATTAAAGAATAAATCAACGATACATCTGATAATATATGTACATATGTGTAGGCAGGTGTCTTCTATTATATATATATATTATTATAATATATATATATTATATATATATATATATGATATACAGTGTTACATTGCGCATATATGTATGTACGAATATCTAATAAGTAAAATGATCAATGTGTCGTAATATTGCAAAAAAAAGAGAAAAAGAGATGAGAAAAGAGATACATGGCGA